TTTATGGGAAATGGTCGCTTGTAAGATTGTCAAAAAGCATTTCGAGCCCATGATGAAAGAGTGATACATAAAAAATAAAAAAATAAATGCAGATTGGATGTACGGCTCCAGTGTGGTCTCTCGTCGTAGGCCGTCGCAAGAGATGACGAGACACTCAGTCACAGTCTAATGCAAATGTGCGAGCCAGCCTTTAGATGAGGAATACCCAGAGTGGAGTTTGTAGGCCCGAAAACACTATGTAGGTCCCACCTGGCTAAGGTCCTCCTGGGAGGGCTCCTCGTCCCTGCCGGGGCGGTGCACAAACGCCAGGTTCTGGTGCTTGGCCCGGATGAAGTCTGCCTTGGTCGGGCTGCACAGCCACACACATTTCTGGGGTCAAGACACTGCGGTAGAACCTCGCCGATTCGCTCCCGGCTGACATGTTCCTGTCGGCTGTTACGTTCATAGACAGCGGTCCGTTACGTGTTCGGCACTACCAGCCTGGGAGCCGAACATTTGAAGCAGCGAGACTTGGGAGTTTGCGTGTAAACGAGAATTCTGGCAGTTGTTCCCTGACCGAGGACTACGCTGGGCACGCAGCTCCGATGGTCAAGCTGATACATAACACAGTCCAGTTGAACTCCAGAGGGAACATGCGCACTATCAATTTCCTGTCTGTAGCATTTGCCTTCCCAGTCATTATGTACGAGAAATGCCACCCGACGCGACTGACGTGAGACTTTCATTTTGCAAGTTTGGAGTTCATATTTGTGCACTGCATCCGGCATGCTCGCGGTGCACAGGTGTCAAGTTTCACTGTTTTGCACGAGCATGTGTGTAGAGCCTGGATGCTTGGCGCTGGCGTGTTAGAAGCAGCAGCTGATTCGGGTTAGGTTTTGATTTAGCTCGACGGGCTCAGAAAGTTTTCTTTTTTGGTTACGATTAAGGATTAACGTCTAATTTTACATCACAGTAAAAAAAAAAAAAAAAAGTTTACCTGCATGTGAATGATTGCAGTTGTTCTACACAGACGTAAAAGTACACAAGAGAAAAATTAGTATGTGGGTTACTTTTCTCACCTATAGGACCCTAAAAACGTCACTGGTTGGTACGACCTCTCGAATAGCACGTCTCTTAATTGCAGTCTTCTGAAAACCATATCAACGAGGCTCCATTGTAACAGAAGGAGTTGATTAACCCAATGCTCTACGTAAAAATCAATCTTTCACATGACCCTTTTCGCACCGTTTTGATGCATTAGACGCCAGCCCAAGTCCAGGCACTCGTGCTATTGTCTGTTTCACCTTCAATGGACTGCAGAAAATGCCACAAGGCATCCCAGCATCATTTATTTGGGGTTCTTATCAGAGCTCACTAATTGGATCAGTTTTAGTCATACAAGAGAGAATGAATCATCTCATTTTTTCCAATTATCATGAAACTGCAAGTGTTTCCACTACAAAGGACTCCTTTACTCCCAGATCTATTGGTACGCACAAAAATCGCTCATCTTAGCTCATTAAGTGAGATTTATTAAAACATTACACTGCATAAACGACTCATTTCACTCCCTTTTCATGTTTCTTCGCATGTCGATCACCATCATAAGGTTAGAATTTCTTACACCAATTTTAATGCACTTTACACATCTTTCCGTCGAACCATTTTTCAGCCTCGGTTGTTTTCATTACCAACTGAGATCTTTCCAGGGAAGTCAGTTAACCTACCATGTTAACCTGAATTTTTCTGGGTTTTTTTCAGGTGTACTTACTTGCTTATCAGGGTTTTCCCACTCCCTCCTCTGTAATGCTACATGCCTCAAGAGCAAATAAACAAAATTAAATGAAAATGAAATCCAGCTAGCTCAATGAACGCATCACGTGACTATGCACTTTGAGGATTGTTGCATCCCTCCCTAAAGATTACGTGACACCTGCACAGCATTGGACTGGTTTTGGTGGCTCGTGGTGTTCGCAGCGGTCCATCATAAGGTGAAACAGGGCATAGTGCGAGTGCAGTGAGGGGCAAACTTACTGCAGGCAGTCGTCGGCACTGGGTTTGCGGCGGGCCCCCTTGCCCTGGCCAGGCTCCAACAGCAGGTGTTCCCAGATGGAGTTGGCTCCGCTCGTGTGCAGCGCGTGCACCATCTGAAGAAGAGACACCCCGTCTCCAGCCTCTCTGGGGGACTCTTGAGAGCACTTTTGCCCACACTTTCCCTTGCCCGCCCAGAGCCAGAGACAACACGGACGGTGCTGCTAGGATGCCCGGAGCGCACCTTTGATTGGTGCGTTTACGGCTACGTAACGCCCATACGCCGAAAGCCGTCCCGAAGTGGCAACGAATTATGTCGCAAGAACCTGTATGCCGTGTCGTCGGATGTCATGGTCCTGGTGGTCGGTCGTAGAAATGCGAGCCGTAAAGGAAGCGAGGGTCGCCGTGTTTGCTTGAGCTTCTGCTGGCCGTCTGGCTGGAAAATGAGGTGCAGCTAGACAGGTGGCTGCCGCACGCACTTCTGCTGCTACGCCATCGCCAAGATCGCGGCAGGATACTTTACTGTATGACACTGTGGCGATGTCAACGGGTGGAAGTCGAGGAACCAGAAACGAGGAGACAATAGACACGGCAGCTGGAGAAGCATGCCAGGCACTATGGCATCTTGCCAGGGGACAGACCCCATGACGCGCAACCACTGGTGTTACTAGGGTCAGCGGCACACGATTCTCGAGGCTCGACGCAACACCCCCCCCCCCCCCCTCCCCCCCCCACCCCCTCGAGCGCTGCACCCGGGGCGGTCTGCCACCACATCCCTAGTGGTGCCTCTGTGCGCAACAGCCGCTGGGTGAGAGAAAAATGGGCTGAGGAACTTCGTCTGCTGAGGATTTTGTCGACCATCATCGCTCTACACTTTCCCAGGACCCAATTGGTAGGACCAACAATTTCTACCCCATTGGTAGGCTTGTTAATTTCTTAATTATGTGCGTGGTGACGAGCGAGATGTAGGATACAATCGTACAGCTCGTGCAAGGATTAAAACTCGGCTTTCTTTGTTGCTGCCTTTTCTGGACTGCAAAAAAGCTTCTTTCTACAACCAAGGTTGTTCTCTCGAGGATGAGCTGGATGGATGGATGTTAATGGCTATTCCCTTTGTAACGGGCGGTAGCTTGCGCCACCTAGCCTAAGTCTAAAAAGACAAAAACGTGATTCCTCCCGCCCTTTTAAGACCAATTTTTCTCCCCCTAACTATCACCAGGCAGTGTGGGATATCACCAGGATGACCTTCGGGGGATCGGGCAAAAAAACTAAAAAACATCACCCCCCTGCCTCTTCCCCCCGGCGAGGGAGTCGCCAATTTTCCTCTGGTCAAACCTTTTCGGCGTTACCCCAGCACCGGACCCACTGGGAGACAGGGTTGAGACTTTGGGCCGGAGCCACGCGGGAGGGAGTCCCAATTTTCCTCTGTCCCGCCTGTTCCCAGCTGTGCTAGTTAGTTGTCCATCATTTAATTTTCCCTAGATAATTTCCACCAATCCTCTAATCGTCTCTTTGTCACTGTAATCTTTTTCTCTACCATCCTTCCATCGTCGCCAGTGAAACCCAGGGCCCCGGCCAAATCCGTTACCCCTTCAGGGAGGGCAGGACGAAGCCTCGTGCACTTCAAAACCAAGTGCTCCAGTGTCTCGCTATCATTATGGCAGGCGGCACATAACGTGTCGGTCTCCTGAAATTTAGCCCTATATGTCCGTGTCCTCAAAACTCCCGTTCTTGCCTCGAACAGCAAAGCACTTCCCAGTGAATTGTCAAATAGCTTTTCCTTTCTTATCTCCTGCTTTCGTGACCTGTACACTGCTAAAGCTGATTTCTCCTGCATTCTCCCCTCCCACATTTTCCTCTCCGCCTCTTTCACCTTCTTTTTCACTGACGTAGTCTGTTCAGCCCCATCACCTGTGTGTAGATATTTGAATGTAAGCTTTCGGGTTCGGTTGGTCCATTTTGTGTTTAAACTTTTCATGTATAAATACTTGAATACCTTACGTGCCCACCGCGTATCCTCCATTTCAGTCAACCTTTGTTCAAATTTCAACTTACTAATTGCCTCCCTGCTCTCAAAAGACGACCATCCCATGTCCCCCTGTACTCCCTCATTTGGTGTTTTTCCATGTGCTCCCAGCGCCAATCTGCCTACGCTTCTTTGTCGAATTTCTAGCCCTGATTGAACCTCAGATTTCATGCACAGCACTGCATTGCCAAAAGACAGTCCTGGCACCATCACTCCCTTCCATATACCTCTGACCACTTCATATCTGTTATAGTTCCATAGTGCCTTGAGCTTCATAATAGATGAATTTCTTTTCCCTTTTCTAATTGTGTTCTCCTCGTGTTCCTCTAGATATTTCCTTCCTTCATTGAGCCAGACCCCTAGATATTTGTACTTTTCTACGTGTTCTATCACTGTGTCCTGTATCTCCAGGGGTTCCCCCTTCTCATCGTTGAAAACTATTATACCCGACTTGTCCCTACTGAATTTTAGTCCTAAACTGTCCCCTTCCCCGCTGCAAATTCTAATCAGTTCCTGTATTGTCTCACGGCTTTCTGATACGAGTACAATGTCATCTGCATACATTAACCCTGGCAATAGTTGATTTACCTTATGTCCTTCCTCCATGTAATTCAGGTCAAAACCTAGGTTGCACTGTTCTAATCTTTTTTCCATCTCACTGAGGTATATCATAAAGAGCAGGGGAGACAATGGGCAACCCTGTCTAAGTCCTCTTTTTATTGCTGCTGGTTTTGTAGTTTCGGCTTCCCATTTTATAATCACCCTATTCTCCGTATAAACCCGTTCTAGGAACTTAACCGTGGTTCCCCCTAGGCCATACCCTTTTAGCTGTTCCCAAAGTTTTTCCTGATTCACATTGTCATATGCCCCTTTGATGTCCAAAAATGCTACCCATAATGGCCTTTGGCTTGTCATTGCTATCTCTATGTACTGAGTGATTATGAACAAGTTATCATCTAATCGTCTATCCATCCTGAAACCGTTTTGGAGCTCCCCCAGAATCTGCTTTCTCTCTGCCCATTCTTCCATTCTTCTTTTTACGATTTGCATAGCTAGTCTGTATATTACTGAAGTTACTGTGATTGGTCGGTATGATTTGATACTGTCTTTGTTTCCCCTGCCCTTATATAATAATCTCATTCTGCTCAATTTCCAGTCACTGGGTACCTCCCCTCCCATAAGTATCTGGTCAATCACCTGCCTTAGTTTCAATTTGCTTGTTTGGCCTAGAACTTTTATCAGTCTCTTAGTTCTAATTGCGAAGAACTCTTAGTTCTAATCTAAAATCAGAACTTTATCAGCTGTTATGAATATGGTTAATGTTGCCAGATGTACAAGCCACTGTTGAAATAATCCGTGTAAGTGCATTAGTGCGCATTTCCGCTTGTATGCGAAAGTGAAAGTACTGGATGAGCCGATTTTTACTGTGCAGTTTTTTTTTAGGGTAAGGGGCATCGAAATTGGAATCCAGTCAAGACCAAAAAACTGATGTGGTTCGTTGGGGAACATGAATCCCCATCATAAATGCATGTAAGAACACGGGCACTACAACCAGTGCAGAAGAGCCAGGCCGTTCCTTGAAGCACTCACCGTGAGCTGTCCCGGGCACCAGGCCCCCTTCTTGAGGTGCTTCACCTGCGAGATGTGGCGCCCCAGGCAGCGGTGCACGCTGCAGCACTCCTCGCAGAGAAGCACACCCCGGTTCATGGACGCCCAGGCAGGGTCTGCACCGATAGATGTATGGATGGACGTTAGTGGCTACCGTTTTTGTGTCAAGTGGTGGCTTGCACCACCCAGCCTAGGAACGATTACACCCGTCACGAGGAGGCACTGTCACAAGCGAAGGGAGGTGAGCTGCGAGACATTAACTCGGGAGAAACAATCGTTTATGGCGGCGCGCAACTTGGTCGGCACAAAGCAACTGCCAGCAAGCGCAGTGAGTGGGTGCTTCGTTGGCCCTTCTTTTTGTGCTTGTCTCATTTTTCTTTTTTTCTTTTTTTTTTTTTACAGTAAGTACCTCCCAGTGGCCAACAGCGCAATTAGAACTAAGCACGCGGTTACGTGCACCAGCTGTGCAAACTGCGCACGAACAGAAACCGAGTTGGGGCGATGAAGCTGCAGCACCACGAAGCCGCCCTTGTTTGTAAACAAGCACATATTGGGATGTGGGGATTATGAATAAAATATGTACAAATACCGCGTGAACGTTGGTCACTGCGCATGAGCAAGATCCCGTTTCAGAAGTAGCCTTAGCGCGATGTTAATACATCAGAAGCCTTAGCGTGATGTTAATGCAAAGCCAGAAGCAAGCGAACTAACGCAAATGGCAGGGTATGTGACGCGGACGAGGCCGAATCACGATGGTCGCGCAGACTTCTCCGGTGTTATTGTCCGTTAGGAATACGTCTTACAGCTGTCCCGCGACCTTTTCCGGCAATACGTTGGACGCGCCAAGGGGCCCGTTTCGTTCAAACGCGGGGATACACCGGCACCTCTGTCCGCCGTAGCAGCGGTGCAGGCCAAGCAACCGCCGGAGCGCGAAGAGATATCCACAGAAAGCGAGACGGCACCCACCCGGAGCACCGCAGTCGCCGCACACTTCGGGGACCATTCTGAGTTTTCCTCGCGACATGGGTTATCAAACGGGGGATTCATGAAGCCGCACTCAACAAAAGAGCCCAAGCATCGTCGCGCTGCTGGAAGTTCATCTCGAGTTTCGGACGGAATCGGCCATAGAATCGGCCGACCGATTGGATTGCACTGCTAGAACTGCTTTAGCCAGGTACGAAGCCCAATGTGTGCTAGTTTCAAAAACGAACATTATCCGTATGTTTCAACGTTGGTATGTTTGAAGTATGCAAGCAATCGCATAAACCTTTATAAAATGCAGCCTATTTTTTAATTATGTTTATGCAAAACTAGTGTTAGTAGCAACCAGTGGGCTGCACCACCGTGGCCTACACCCACTGTCATAGAGATCAGTGCCTACACCCTTCGGAATCTTGTTCTTTGGCTGCTTTCGGTTTTGTTTTTGGTCGTCATGTGACACGTGCTTCAAAGGTTCAGGCAATTCGAGCGTTCTGGCTCAAGTGACTCATCGGCTATCCCCGCCACAATCGGCGTCGGCAGAACTTTCGTTGTCTGCTGGTGCCGCGTATCCCACAGCACCGTACAAAGCGAAACGACAACGTCGGTGAAATGTGAGTGCATATAACAAAAAAATTCTGGCATTCTGCTGGCCTTGATTCCGAGTTGCGGCCGTACCAATCTCTATCCGAAACTATGTAAGCTTCGCTGCCGGGAAGATAATATTATGATAGCGGTATGATGAATGTCTCCAGAGTGACAGAGCCTCTGGTTAGGTAGCTTACAGTTGTTTACCTGGCTCCTACAAAAGGTTCTGGGATCCTGCGCACTGCGCGATCGAACAGAAAGCGAAAGGGTGGAAGTACGATCAAAAGCAAGAGACGCTGAAATTTCCTTTGACCTGGGTCTCGGCATATTGGCGTGGTCGTGAAAGGAGCTAGAAGTAGAAAACTCCGTAAGTTTTTCCCCTGTACAGTTACCGCTGTGAGATCACATGATCATCCAGAAATGCGTATGTTATGTTAGCTTGATGGTCCAAGTTATCGTTTTTAAAGTAACGGATAAAAGAAATACTTTATAACGGTTAGAAAAGTTTAAACAATGGCAAAGAGGAGGCGGACGTCTTCCATCGGTGCCTGGAACCTGAGTACCGTCTTTTACTCTCCCGGGCGACGCCGAGAATGCGGGGGAGGTCGCGTCCCTGCGTCAGGAAGAGCTCAGCAAACAATTGTCCTGCTCTCTTGTCTGAGCACCCTTCCTTGCCAGAGGTAAGTACAAAGTTTATATAAACACAGCTGCCTGCCCCCCCCCCCCCCCCCCCCCCAAAAAAAAAAAAAAAACTGAAGACAATATTAAGCACTTTTTATGAGTTGTGAATGCGAAAGCAGGAATGTTGTTCTTCCGCTCCCTTAGTTCTTCTGCGCGGTGTACTGGCGTGGACGTTTTGCTACTGCTGACGATACAGATGCCTCAGGCGCAGCCATGTTCCTCGGCTGCGGAGAGGACCAGAATCGGCCGCAGCCCCGCAGCCCCCCCCCCCCCTCCCTCCCTCTTCCTCCGGCAACGCCTGACACGAGAGCGGCGGCCGAGCGCGGGCTCTCGTGAAGTGGCCGCCAATGGCTATCTAGGAGCCGTTCAGTGTTGCCAGATGGTCCCACCAAAAAACCGCCAAACGGCTGGGAGGTATAGCCCAAATATAGCCAAAGCCGTAAAAAAATATAGCCAAAAATAGCCAAGACTAAAAACAATGATTTTTAAGCCTTTTATTGAAAATTTTTCAAACGTACAAGACACATTATATATTTTTTTTTTTCAACCCTCAGATGCGCCATTTTTGTGTAAATTACGTCACGTAAAGAAAAAAGTAAATCTTCGGAAGGTTGAAAATTTGTACAACGATGACGCATCCTTCGTAGATTTCCAAAAGTACAAAACACGCAAAGACAGCTGTATTGTGAAGCCCGGGAGATATGATCATACAGTAACAGAAGCAGATCAGTCAGAACACTGGGAGTTTCAAATCAGAAACCCCAATACCTAAGGTTCTTACCAATAATCCACCCATCTATTTTTCTTTGTGTAGAATATGAGTGTCTCCCGTTCCGGTTCACAATATTTTTGATTATGTTGTCTTTTCTTGGGGTAGGTGATGCCTAAGAAGTTTCACAATGGGCACCAAAGCTGCGTTTGGAGAGTTCATTCTACGTGCGAGTAGAAGACGCGCTACCGTGCCTGTGGTAACAGTGCGATCTGTTTGTTTGATTTGTTCCACTGCACTGTGGGGAGACCGCTTGAACTCTGCAAGCATCGATTCTCTGTGCATTGGGAAATCCCCGAAGTTTGTAAAAGTTTGAAGCGTTTCTCCTTCCTTTCTCTCCTCTCGACTAGCCAAAAGAGGAACATTTTTTTCCAAACTAATTAGAAGTTCGAAAATTAACTAGTTGAACCTCAAAGTTCGACTTGGAACCTGAGGTTCGACAAGAGTTTGCCGCGCCGTTAGGAATAGCCCAAAAATAGCCACATAGCCAACCACGAAATTTTGTCGCCAACTAGAAAAAAATGTAGCCCAATTTGGCTATATATAGCCCAATCTGGCAACACTGGAGCCATTTTGCTCAGCCAATGGGAGAGTGGGCATTTCTTTCGCAATTTTTCGCAGTGACGGATGCCGCCGGCTCCGCTCCGTGGTATAGTTGTTGATTTCTTATTAATATGAACTTAAGTGGCGGTTGGTGCAGTGCAGACATGTGAGTTGTAGAGCTGACGCAGGGTGCTGAGAGATCGACGCCGCGGTCGCCCTTTGCGCACTCAGTTTAGATATTATGGTGCTGTATGTAGTTTAGGTGTGGAGCCACACTGAAAATGTTCATATCCTTTTATTTATTATACCTAACTATAATTATACCCGTTTCACATATTTTCTGGTGGCCACCATGGCCACCATTAGCCCCAGTGTTAAAATACTCCCTAATGCAAGTTATTTCTTGTTCCTTCTAAGTTCTGTACAAAAAACAAGAAGAAAATAATGTGAATTCAAAATGCTCCTCTTCATCGATGCCTTCCCTCAAAAATATGGCATTGTGCAGCGAGAGAGAAAAAATCAAAACAATGTCACTTTTATATATTAAATTTTTTTTTACAGGGGTATGTATTAAATTTTTTTTACCCCTTCTCTCTCTCTTTAATGTAAAAGTTTGAGACTTTAGCGAGTGGTTGAGTGGCCTGTTGATGTGCCAAAAGCAAATCTACGGCCCCCCCCCCCCCCCCCCCCCCCCCCCCCAAGGGCAACTTTCTTTATGAAAAATAAGAACGACATACACCAGCTTTTTTTGCAAAAGAAATGTTTAGTTTTGGTGAAATGGCAATTTTATGACAGCAAAATAGATCTGGGCAGTGCTCTCCTGACGTCGTATATCTCTATAGATTCCTCCCCCTTAAGCCAAATTTCCACTGGCCCCCACCTCCCCTCTGATGTTCTCCCAACTCGGACCCATAAATCCTCTCCTGGGTCGTTCCATACCCTTTGCAGGGGTGGCGACACGAGTGGCACCGCCATGGCGGCCCTGACAGACGAGGTGGACATTCGGGAGAGCCTGGCAGTGCTTCCCTGTGTGGCGGATGAGGGGAGTGTGGCCTTCCTCAGGGCTCACGGCCGGGTTTTCTTCCTGCTGCGGGGCCCCCCCGGCTCGGGCAAGGGTACCGTGATGGACGCACTGCGCGAGTACTACCCGGACGCACGGACTTACTGGTCCGACCGAATGTTCACGTCCCTCATGGCCCCCCCGCGGAACCGGGAGACCGTCCGTGAGTCCCACCGCCTCTGCCAGGAGAAGTATGTCACAGGGTTCGGACAGGGGAAGATTTGTGGCTCGTGCTTGGGGAGGGAGTGGTCTACTGAGAGACTTGACGGTCACGGGCAATGACAGATCCATTCGACCTCATATTTGGATGTCACCAAAAACTAATTATTTCTTTCTGAAACAAAACTTGTATATGTAATTTTCTTTCATAAAAAAAGTTGCCCTTGGGCAACTTGCGGTATGCTACAGCCCTCGGGTACTTCGAATAAGCGAGTATGTAATGTGTTGACGCCTCCAAGTGTCAAAGCTAGTAACTGTGGTACGCTTGGCCCCGCATTGCATGATGACGTACGTCAAAGCCATGCCGGATCTGCCGAGGTGCATCAGGCTCTTCGACGGCTGATTTTGAAGCACACGCCAAAATGCCAGCATTTAAAAAGAAAAATATAGCCATCCACTTAATATAATCATGTGATTATCAATTTCAGGTTTAGCTGATCCTATTCAACTTAGGTATTTCTTGATGTTTTCTGTATATTGGGGGAATTTGATTCAGTATCGCTTTAAGCAGTGAAAACCAATGCATAATGTATTTGAAATTCAGCATCTCTGGGTTTAATATATGATGGGACAACTAATGAAAAGCTGTTGTAGTAAGCAGCTTGTTTTTTAATTGTCCATTTCATATTTCAGAATTGAGGCTTACATGAAGGAGAACGTTCCTGTGATCATCAACAAGAACACCAACGTGACTGTATGGGAGATTAGTCCCTACCTTAGACTGGGAGCCAAGTATGGATATGTAACAATCCTGATTGATATCAACCGCAAGTTTCTTTTAAAGCCGCAGGTATGGGGCACCCGTGTGGAATGCATGCAGTGAGATTGGCAGAAAACTCTTTGACCTGAAAAACAGTGAACAATGTCCCGCCCTCACATTTTTTCCGCAACAATCCAATTTTGAGCTCGCCTAAGATGAACTCAACATGAGTCAGCTCATCCTAGCTGAGTAGTGTCATTGTTTTGCATTGAAACTCGCTTTCTTTCATATGGTTTGATGATCTGCAAAGTTATTGTCTTTTGAATTCAATGTTGTTTTAAACTAGCTCAGCCAACTTCATGTACAAATTATGCTGTTTTATTTTTTAGATCAGATGTGTTGCTAAGGGATATGAAAAAGACACAAGACAAGTAGGCATGTGCAACTAGTGAATTTTGAGTTTGAAGCGAATAGTGAACTTGGCCGAACATTTTCGAATATCGAATAGTTTCTCCAAGCTTAAAGAAAAACCCAGCTCAACCCTTAAAGGTAGTTCCCAAGCTTCCGCTTGTCCATGTCGGAGCTAATTTTAATCAAGTAATATTTTTGAACTGTGGCCTCAGAAAGCCTACACGGGGATGGTGATTGGTAAACAATGCATTTGACATAAAATTTAACCTAAAGAGATGGCTAGCTATACCTCATTGAGGAGATTCGTAAATCTTCTTGCTATATATGCCAATATCCTTTCTTTAATCTCGAATTTGAGAAAGGAAAGAAAGGCAATCATAAATGATGAATGCAGGTGGTCGGAACTTCCTGGCCTAACATATATTCTTGCTTAATAGCCAGATTAATTTTGAAACTTCCACTGTAGTGTAGGTAATAATATTCACAAAGTTAATGTTTCTGTTTAAATACACCAAGCATGCACATGCACCATTCCATTTTGGAAGTGGGCCTTTTCCTAAGTGTGCGACTGCAATATATGTACTTTTCAAGGTGTTGATTGTGGCGGGTTAGCCCTGTTAGGCGCGCTTTTTACCGAGCACTGGTACACTGCGGAAAACAACACCTGTGGAAGCGAGCTCCACAGGCGTTGCTTCTCTGCAGTGCACCGGGACTCGCTATGAAGCACACTCGACAGGCTAACTCAGCAGGCTGTCAACACTTAGAAAAATTTGAATATCAAAGTTCTTCTCGAAGCAAATATTGAATAGTGTACTATTCAAAACAACTATTCAAAACTTCGTACAACACTAAAGATGAGAAATGAACCTGACTGAACACGCTTGAAAGCATGGCATATTTGTGTTGCGTCTCATTCATCTTTTTTGTCTTGTGTTACAGAGCCCCTTAGCAGCAAATTTTTCATACAAAGTATATCGAGCCAATAAGCCCCTGCAGAAGCATTGAAAGGCGTTACTTTTGCAGGATCAATAGCTCAACATAGTTTTTTCTTCCGTGAAGTCTGTGAAAATTCAGTTTCTGGTATAAGTTGTTTATAGCATAATGTAGCCTGTTTATCTGCTAAACCAGCCTGTGTGCAAGAGATTTCTGACATTATTTTAATTATTACTTTTGTTTTATAGAATAAATTTTATATTCCTAGGAACAGCTGCCTCTGCTTTGCAGTCACGGTTCTGGTTAACTTAGCGTTCATGCAAATTGATCACTAATGTATTCTGCTGGTCTACCCATGTTTCACTTATAAGAGATCTCCAAACTGGAATATTTGCTATCGAGTTGGTGCTAAACTACAGTTTCTGACTAAAAGATATCTTGCACTCATTTCTGTATTGGACAAACTCCTCTTCGTGAGTGAGTGTGCAGCTGTCTCGCAGGTGCTTGCCATCACCAACAGCAAGGGCCTGAACGCAGAGTACATGAACAAGCGCATGAGCCAGTGGGAGGACGTGCTTCCTATGGCCGTGGGGTGGTTTCCGAGTGCTAGAGATGCCGTCCTGCTCACCCGGCGCTTTGACCAGCTCCACCAGACGCTGTCTAAGGAGGCTGGTCAGTAGAAGCCTCAACTAGTCGGCAGGGACAAATTTATGGGTCAGGCCCCCCCCCCCCCCCCCAAATCTGCCCCCACTAGTCGGTCACAGCTGTGGTGTTTATTGTTGCTTATCACATACCAATTGCAGCAATCATTCAGCCTCTCAACAAGCTCCTATCCGAAATTCGGAGATAACCTTGATGGGCACTCTTTTGGTCTGAGCAAAAAGTCATAAGGGGAAAAGGGTAGGGTGGACTTTATCACTCAGGGCCGGCGCATGCGTGTCAAGCTTCACTGCATTGCACCGGTGTGCTTTGAGAAGCGACTGATGAGTAGAAGCGTCTCGGTTAGCCAGGTGTGCTCAGAAGTCTGAGTTGGGCACTTGATGTGTCCTTTTGCTTATTTTTCGCATGTTTCAGAAATAGCAGGTGGGCAATTATTCTGACATGGGCATATTCTCGCTATTTTACACTATTAATGCTCGCCTCATTTTTACCGGATTTTAACAGTGCTCCTGTACTTGTCATTTCTGCTTCGAAATTACACCTCTTCAGCCTCCTACTCGTTCTCTCTCCCCCACTCTATTTCCCCAATTTTCTGTTTCTGAGTTGTCTGTTGTCTGTCCCTGACATGCGCTGATGGCTGTGGTGCACCAATCGTTGTGTTTGTTTCGGCAGATTTAACCATGAACCCCCTGAGGAGCCCCGAGGGCTTTCTATTCTGCCTCGCCAGACTCTGCTGGTTCGGGTGGGAACCCTCCGACCGAGACTACTGCCGCAGACAAGAGGCAAGGGCGCCCTCTGGGTTCTGCACCCTCTGTGCACGGCGCAGCGCTGCCCATTCCAATCTCTACCTCTTCCTGTTTTATCTGAATAAGCCTCATATTCTGTTTCACCACTGCATGATGCATGTTAAATACACCAGGCTAGCCATTTTACTACACTGGCTAAATTTTCCCTCTACAGTGGAGACACCAGACATTTACTGGGACTGACTTCCTGCTCTCTAAACAAGTGCATATATAGCGTAATCACTTTACAGCAGTCCAACGCATCCGCTCCCTGTGGGGCGCGTGGAGTGCCGATTGTTGCTGTCTAGAGAAGGATCGCCAAGCACGGCGAACGACGTAGTATTCGGTTGGCAGATGAATACTGTCTGGGCTGACGGTCGGCAGAGTTGTGAAAGTTGCTCTTGAAATGTGATCCAGCTAGTACAATTGTAGTTACACTTTAACAAATGCATCTCTTTACAATTGCCCACAAAATGCAACTATGTTTTGTTAAATATAATAAAAATTTCATAATGTTGTCAACCAATGACCCACTTTTCATCATGGGAAAAAGATACTGGCACAGTCCACTCTGACCTGCTTTAGGTAACATTTGATGCAGCAACAATGCAAAATGCTTATCTTGAGACTAAATCAATTTGTGCATGTGTTTTTCAACAAATCTTAAAAAAAACCAAAAAAACTCATGGTTGCAAGTTAGTCCAGGACACCAGTGAAATGTTTCATTTTAACTTAGGTAGTATTTAATATAACTCATTCTTGTAGTGTCAAAGCAATTGTTGGACATCACCAAAGACAAATCTGGCAACATTGTAGCACCGAAAGGTGCGGTCTCAATAAGGCAGAATGATTTTCTATGCCATAGAACAAACCTGATTGGACACATGTCTTTATTTGTGCAGGTTGAGCGAGCGTGCGGCATGAAAGGCACAATAAAGGTCTTTGGATATGCCATCCTGGAAGGTCTGGTTCTGGCACTGGTTCAGCTGAGCGACGACCAGATGGCCTTGTGCGGTAGCTGCTCTAATGACGATGGCGAGGCGCACAGCCACGAAGACGACATCGCCGCGAGCTTTGCGAGAAGCGTGAGCCTCCACAGCTGGAAGGAGACCAGGTGTACTGTTGCTCTAGAGGACATTGTTGACGGGAACAGGACCGTGGAGGACCTGCCCAAGGCTGACAGGCTCTCCTACTTGCCAGTGCCTCGAGTGAGGTTCATCATACTGGGGTCAACCGATGACCCATTTGCATACTCCCGGTCATTGGATGGTCTTCACAACCGGCTTGCCGAAGAGTTTTCTGTTTCTGAAGAGGGGGTCATCCACTGTGAGCAGAAGATAAACGTAGGAGGAGTGGATGTCTACTCTACAGAGACAGCCTGGCTGGTGCTAGACGACAGGTCTGTGGAGCTGGATGCAGTTTTCACAGGATTCTACCAGCCGTACAGCACAGGGTAAAGTAACCAGTACTCTGCTTTTAAAAGTGTCCATATCTGCGTATGATATATTTTCTTGAGATCAACTTTGTGATTGCAGCTGTGTCTGAGTGGAGCCCCTGTAGACTTGTGTCTCCAACTTTTCGACAAAATTCGTATGAATTGCATTGCGCCAAAGATTAACAGAGCCACTCATTACCATATCACATTCACAGAATTTTTTCTCAAATTCGTTTGCATGTTTTATCGAATTTAACTACGGGTAAGATAAAAAAAGGCACCACCTCTCCTATCACAGAGCTCATCAAAAACAAAAACTGACAACCGCCTGTAGATCCCTATTGGCTTCCAATACGCGACCACTTGGATCACTGGTGGCTTCCAATGGGGCATATAAGGGGAGTGTATAAATCACTGGTACCAGGGATGTTCCAGCCCAAGAAAAGCCTGTATCCAAGGGACTGCTTTGTGATTGCAGACCGCGGCCAAGACCTGTAGGACGTGGCCGTCTTCGACGCCCATGGCAGCCTCGTTCCGACAAGTGGTGACGGCATTCCGGATGGGCATTCGCGAACCATAACGGGATCGACCCCCATTGTTGAAAAGAGTTTTGCATATGCGTGTGTGTGTATTTAATATATTAAGGTCTATTTCTTTTCTATAAAAAAGTTTCGCTGCTTTTCTCTGCCTTGATTGAACAACTAGCTGTGACTCTAGAATGGACGTCCAGTGGTGTGATTGCACGCTTCTACATCTCAACAAAATGTGATGCATTTGTGCAAAACGTAATGTCACTTTATTAACACTGAAAATATATTAGCTGAGGCACCACTACACGGCCGGATCGTGTACGGTAAGGCTTGTCCAAATTGACAAAACTTGATTATCGCCTTGAATGGCGTACTACGTCATCTCTGCATCCAACACTGAATACTCGCAGGTCGCGCAATATGTCTCATGTTCGTGGTGTGTTCTGCACGTGGGTTAGATAGCTTCGTAGAGTGCGCTTCGCACCGCGCAGTTGTGCACTGCAGTGAAGCGAGAACCGCGGATCAGTTGCAGTGCAGGCGAAGGCAACGCCACTTGAAGAGAGAAAGGGCGAGCATTAGGAAGGCGGGACGGGAGAGGGGGGGGGGGGGGGGGGGGGCAAGGGTGGGCGAAGGGAGAAAGGAAGAGCACCAGGAACGTTGGAGAGGAGAGGAGATTTCTCTCCTCGTCCCCAGCCTTCTTAGTGCTTGCCCTCTCTCCCCTGGCCTGGCACTGCATTCGCCTGTACTGCACGCAACTAGTGACACGGCGTATAGGGGTACCGCACTCGTAGCTCCGAGCAGGATCGTTGCACACGCACACGTCAAATATATGGAAAAAAAAAAAAAAAAAAAAAAAAGCTTGGTAGTGTTGATGTAACCCTGTATTAAAAAGCTCTAAGTAAGACTGCTGTTAGTATACGTGTTAGACTGGAATATTCGACGATATGTTTTATAACTTGATATTTAGCACGGCTGCTTATGTATTGTGGGACAATTTATAGACGCTTTCAGCGCGCGCCAGATTTAGCCGGCATAGTCGACCTTCTCTTGTCTTACCGAGATGCCGAGCCACCGAAGCGTGCGTTGACGAGCCTCCAGCTGGGGAGAAGGACGCAGTATATAGCACCTAAAGTGGCAATAACCTGTCCTGCTGTAGCAATGATGAAGTGAAGCGACCGGAATAAGAGGAACCAAAAACTGAAGGTCGGTAGCATATTTTTATGTCGACTTGTTATGACCTTTACATGGGTTCCATCTTGATGGCACAGTGAACAGAGTAAAGTAAAACTAAATTAGCTGGAGCAGACGATGGAAATTTGGGAATAACATTATTGATCGTTCGACCGGGGTCAGATTTAGGGGGAGGAAGGTGACCGCCCTTCCCAAGCCCCCCATGGTCAACTTTTTTAAGGAAAAAATTGATATACATCGCATGAGCCAAAAGTTTAGTTTTTGGTGACATAGCAACTATTGAGTCAACAAAACAGATCTAGCCAACGTTTCGGCCGTAACGTCATATCTCAGCAGCCCCCTTCCCCGTCTGGATGGTTTCTAAGGCTTATTTATCGTTCGCATGCCTATTTTTGTTATGAAGTTAGCTAAATTAATTATTGAAGTTTTATTACAAACTTTAGGACTTCAATAAAACATCACTCTGGATTTTCGTGGAATATAATTTGGTATACATTTGGCTCTACCTATAATAACCATTCACAGATGTTCATACTGTTCTTCATCGCTCAGCATATCGTTGTGCCTGGTGCTTCTACGAGCAACTAAACAACTAATTATATGTTTCAGGCGTTTGAGGGAATCGGTGATGGAAGCGTTGCGCCATTTGCGCCAAATTGCTAAGAATGGCGTCACACCTGCACCAAAATGGGCTTAACCAAATAGAAGCATATATTACTTTTAGTCGATTTTAGCATTCGAAGATGCGGAAGGAAAGTAAAATGTTAGAGATGAGTATTTCACAGCTTCACTACTCACCGTGTAGTTTAATTTCGTGTGAGAGCACAGTCGAAAGCTGGTACACATCACCACAAACACACATCCCAAACACGCAGGTCACGGGGCATTCGCTGCCAATAGAACGTACACAAAAAAGATGAATATTCGTGATGTCGTTCTTTTGACGCAGTTTCATCGGCCCCATTGGCTCATAGCGTCGGCTGCGTTTTGACTTGTGATACAACGAAGTGTGGATATTATTCGTCAAACGCGCTGGTCCCGTCGTCGTCTGAATTTCCAGACAACGTCGGCAATTTTCGGGGCTAAAAGTTGCGAGAAAATTGTGGAAAGTAGTGGGATGGTATAGTTAACCAGAGTGTTTTGCTCCTGATGAGATCACTTGATTATCATGTCTTCCACATATTCCCACGCCGTGGATACCGTGCGTGCCATGGCACGCTCGTGTCAACCTTCACCGATTCACACCCACCAGCGCCCGCGTTGTTGAGCTTCACCACTTGGCACCGGAGTTATAGGAGCAGCGGCTGACGTGGAGGAGCGCCTGGGTTAGCGCGAGTGTCTAGGAAACTATGCTCAGTACTATTACAGGTTGCCCTTTGGTCTTCACAGTATGCTAACCTCCGATTTTCAAAAGATGTGCCAAGAAAGGGGAAAAAGCCGCGGTTCTATATTTAAACAAATACGGTAGTCGTCTAGGTAGTTCCCGTGTAGCAGTCAACCGAAAGGGCATCGAACTTTGACTCATTTCATTTTTAATTTCATTTCATTTATTAATATTATCAGCCCATATAGGGCTCTTACAGGGTGAAATAAAAATACACAATGAACACATACTGGTCGCCGGCACAAGATAAACATTTTCCCGTTATAACAAATACAATATAATACGGCACAAGAAACAAAAAAGTACATAAATTACACTCTAAATGTACATCACTGAAAGATCAGAAAGAATTAAAGGAACACATCTCCAGAAGTTGATATGATACTAAGTGTAGTTAAACATATTAAATGTAATAAAACAGTTGGTTCAATATTTTTAAGAAATGAACTTAGTCACGCTGATGACACAGTGACATTGGTAGCATGTTCCATTCGTTTATGGCTTTAGGGGAAAACAAAAAGAAACAGAATTTAAAACAATCATTTTGTACTTACGGACCTTGAATGTACACTCTACAAAAAAGTCTGTGCATCTACTTTCACGCACAACACTCGGGGAACCAATCAGCGCAACTTACGGAGGCAGCTCAACGAATGACGATGCCAAAACATCTGTTTATACCAAAAACGCAGACTGAGTTGTGACATTAAGCAATGCAAGCGTGACGTTTTACATTGCTTAATGTCAGTCTGAGTTGTGACATTAAGCAGTGCAAAACGTCACGCTTGCATTGCTTAATGTCACAACTCAGTCTGCGTTTTTTTGGTCTAAACAGATGTTTTGGCATCGTCATTCGTTGAGCTGCCTCCGTAAGTTGCGCTGATTGGTTCCCCGAGTGTTGTGCGTGAAAGTAGACTCACAGACTTTTTTTAGACTGTATATGGTGTGGCGGTGCCTTGATGATTGGAGCGAATTTCGAAGTATCTGCATAATTTATTTTTACTTGATTATGAATAATCTGGAAAAATCTGGACTCTGGTCTCAATACCGCTAAAGCGCAGTGCCACTTTTAAAGCACGATTGTTGGTTTTCATAGATTTTGTGTGTCCTATGCTTTATTTTTTCATTTTTTGTTTTTTTAATATTCATTGTAAATTAAATTTACCCAAACCTGAACTTTATTTCTAAATATGCTGTGGGTTACACTGTGCACGCTAGTTAATATTACAAAAGAATAATATATTTAATACCAAAGAGGAACCCTCTATCATTATCAAAGATAAAATTATTTGACTGCAATCACTTTTAACTTCCAATTGATGTGCTAACACATATGTTGGCACCTGCACGAAAAGCGGCAGTGGCTGCTCCAAATATTTTACCTGCTTCAAAAGGTAAAATGCCGCTTCCATCACTAAGGAATCTAAGCTGCCATGCAATTGATGTGAACAAAATGTCGTACAGAAGGAGAAAGGCAAAGTAGAGAATGTATTTTGATGGACAGGCCAACGCGATAATCTTCACATATAATCGCATTGTTAAGAATGAAACTGAAGTGCTCGAAAAAGTTTCCTTGTTGCTCCAAAATGAACTTTTAGCTTTTAGCTGCTCCAAAATTACTCGGGCTCATCGCATCACTGAATCTCTCTACTAGGGATGGACGTCAACTCAAGATGCCAGGACGGACGTCTCCAGTGGCGTAGCAAAGAAGTTTCTTTGCATGTTCTTTCTCTATGAAATAATTGAGGCTGGTTCACACACTTGCGACTGCTTACGACGGGGCGCTCTAAAACCTCTTGGGATCTCTTACGACGAGAGAAGACACTGGCGCCATCTGTCGGGTAGCCACGTAGAACACTTCGCATTTCCGTTTTTTTTTTTTTTAATTAGTATTTACATGGCAGTGAAAATCTGACGCCGTCCGCCTGGGCCCTGAAGATGAAACAGTGGAAAGGGAAGCACGCCGCGTAGTTGGTAGCACGTAGGAGGAGAGTAGTGGAGGACAAAGGCGAGAGAGAAGCGACGTCACGGGGCAGAAGCCAATGTCCGTACCTTTTGCCGTCAATTTTCAGTTCAGTAGGAGGTGGATCACTAGGCCTGGAAATCAAAGTTCCTACAGTGCTCCAGATTTTCTTGGGGTCACCTAGTATGCTCATAAATTTATATAATATTCGCGTCGTGCCTTTTTTACGTCCGAATTTAGTTTGTTTCAAACTTTTTTGAAGTTGACAATGATATCTTTATCTCTTAGCTCGATAAATTTATCGTATATGGAGTCTCGATATTTTATTCTCTTATATAGCGTAGGAGTCACCCAAGGCTTTCTTGACTTCTTATGTTTTTTCAAGGTTCTTAGCGGGAAGGCATGGTCATATAAAGATATGAGCTTGCTCAGAAAAAGATTGTATGATATGTCTGGATTGCTTTCATTATATACAAAGTCCCAATTGATATTAGTTACCGAGGAGTAAAACATGTCAAGGTTTTCTTTGCTGATAGGTCGGTAAGTTATACAAGGAAAAGACATGGGGCTTTTCCCAAGTCTCTTAAATAAACAAAATGTTGGCAGATGGTCG